ACATTTGTCTTTCTGTAGGCAAAGTTGTGTTTGCTGAAGTATCTTTTCTGACAGAAGAGGTATTTTTAGCTAACTTCCAGTTGTTTGTATGATACATGCAATTTGTTTAGTTGTACTTCTTGAGGACCCCTTTCGATGAGTTTTTCAAAAATCATTAAGTATCCAGATGGGCCTTCTTAATTTCCTAATAAATTAACCACAATGTAAAAAAACCTCAGCGTGATTTATTACTTCTGCTTCTATCAGGACTCATAATATCTTTTTTTAATCTTAGAATTGCCCCTATAATCTGTTCTTTGTACCATTTTTTGATTTAGGTGGTCTTGAGTGTAATTATTTTTCCTTCTAACTCTGGCCAAAATACACATGAACTGTCTCTGATTAAGGGTGTTCTTCATGAAAATTGTAAAGGTCAGATTTTCATTTTAATTCTAAGTACTTCAGAGGTCCGATTCTATATGTTATTATTCAATGCTGTTCTATCACGGAGGATTACAGGGTCAGTGCTATTGAAACAGAATTTTCTGTCAGTTTGGGTAAGTGCCAGCAAAAGAATACTTTCCATAGATCCTAACAGATGATGAAACATTTAGGTTTTATTTTATTTATAATTTTAAATTTTTATTTCCTGAAGATGATGTTGGTCTCTTAGAAAGAAAGAATGCTGTTTGGTGTTGGTTGTGATTTTTGTTGAGGGAATTGAGATGCTTTTTTAGATAAAAATTGTTGTTTTCCTCTACCCCAGAGTTTCTTATCATGTTCTCTAAAGCTCTCTCATGTTGCATGTAAGGGTTATAAAATCTACCATGTACCTCAGTGTGTTAGTACACACAATCCTTCCCTAGCAGACATAAAATTGTGGTCTCTAAAAGGTGGTTAGTACTGAATAAAGCGGTTTTAGGGACAGTGATGCAAATTCACAGGAGCTATGTGAACACAGGCTTTATGGATTTGTCCAAGCTTGCATGAAAAGCAGGAGGGAGGCAGCAGGGCAACCAAAATGCCAAATTATGGAATTACTTACTTTATTCTACAGGCTTCTGACTATAGTCACTTCTCCTTGGAGGATACTGCAGCTGCCTTTAATGGGGTTTCTAGTGGCACGTCAGGAAGAAGACAAAATCCAAAGAGCTCTGATAACCACTGAGAGAAAGAGGAGACAAGAACATCCATATGCAGCCAGCAATGACCTCTGCGTAAGGGCATGGCTTGCTTTGCTTCCATACAGTTTTGATTTTCAAGAACAGAGAAGTGGAAGGAGCTGCTCAGGCCTCGTTAACTTAATCCCCCATGATTATAGGCAAACATAAAATAGAGGCTTTTTCCCCACTGCTATCCTACAATAGACAAGGATTAAAAGAACATAGTTTTTCCCCTGCTGGGTAGGAAATCTTGATGGTAAACTTCTTCTGTCCCTGAGCTGATGAATCGTAATAGCACAGTGGATTTTTCTTCCAAGAATTGGTCTGATTGCTTACATTTTTTTAGAACCATGTGGATTATTGATATCTTCAATATACTGTGGTAGTAAGTTCTACAGCATAACAATACACTATGGGAAAAAGTGCTTCCCTTTATTTTGAACCTGTCGTCTGCTAATTCATTTCATTCTCCATCACTCTCTTACCAGAAGAAACAGTTGAACAATTGTTTCCTTTTTACCTTTTCTGTACTTCCCATAATTTTAAGATCCTTTATCAAATGTTTCTATCAGTCCTATCCTTCGCAGGCTTGACAAGTCCTAATATCTTCAATTGCTCCTGTTACTAAAGTAATTTCATACCTCTAAATATCTTTACAGCCCTTCTCTGTACATTGCCATCTTTTTTTTCAAGAAGGCCAGTACTGCATTCAAAAATGTGGTTTCAGTGTAAGTTTTCACAATAGTTTTTTTATCATTTAATCAGTAATTTATCCAGAAGAGGACTTTTTCTTTTATCCCATGGCATCTTAGTATCTCTAAGAGCTTTCAATGAGGGATGTGGTTGAATGGCTTTTATAAATCCAGGTAAATTAGATCAAGTGGATCTCCTTTTTCATGCAGTCTGTGATGGGCTGGATATCACAGATATTCTTAGATCCCCAGTATCATTTTTCTGCATGTCTTCTCTGATTACAGTATCTACCAACTACCCTATATTGATGTCAGTCTGACGTCCCTTAGAGAACTCTCTTCAGTGGAATGTGGGAGAACTGACAAGATGGGTGGTTTTTGCACGAGACGTGCAAAAGGAAAGCACAGGCAAGTTGCACTATTTCTGTCATCTTAAGAGCGGATTAAAACCAGATTAAAACCAGTGAAAATCTCCATGTTGACATATTTCAAAATTTAAACTTGGTTACGTTTATCTTGCACCACTGGTATTCTGGATACAAATCTGTACCAAAATAATTTGGATTCTTGTGAACTCTCTATGCAGACAAGGATTACTCAAAATGGCCACAAAATAAATCTTAATTGAAACAAGTTTGTTATTCTCAAAATCTTGTGATAGGCAAAAATGGAGACATATCTTGTATGCAAAGCCAAGAATTTATTCTTGGTCTAACAAATTTTAGTAGTCTTAAATAAAATGCAATAAACAGTACAATTAGTCCAGTTACTAAATTTCGCAATCACAGTTACCTAATTAAATGAATACTACTCACTGTTTAAAAAAAAATCAGTTTAAATTGATGCAACAAAACACATATGAGGGGACACACACCCCCTGGGTGGAATGTGATGTTGATGACTGGGTTTCCTCCTCTTCTTTGCTAGGAAGAATATGTCGATAAATTCTTCATCCCTCTGGGTTCCACTTGGGGCTGTTCTCATGTTTGCTCATGGACCTTGTTCTTTCTTCACTGGTCTGCAAGTATATTTACATCCACATTTACAATACACATTTTACGTATGTTGGGTACTGCCTTTTTGTTCTCTTTTACTCCTAACACTCATTCTGCCCAGCTCCAAATTATGTGTATCTTTAATTGTCCATGAATGGGTACTTGCATCTTTAGTTTTATCCCAAGCCCCCTCCTATCAGCCCAGGCCTGTATTTGTCTAGTTCTCATCCAGTGTCCCCACTTTGGAGGCCTTTGCTGTCATACTTTGCCTCTATTCCTATGTAATTACACTGGCGACTCTGTGTTTAAGTCCTAAATATGTCTTTCTATGTAGAATAACCAACTGCTACTACCGCCTCTACAAAAATTATTACAGCACATGGTTAAAATAAGCAAAAGTTCACAGGATGGGTAGTAGCTGTCTGATCACTAGAAAAAAAAACGTTGTTACAGCTCTGCAAGCTAAACCAAGGTTTCCAGTCAGGCCAAGACAAGTTCAACCAAAGAGGAGAACCAGACAACTGTCAACCATCAGATTAAATGACATCATTTACAACAAAAATATTAGCAAAACCACCATATTATTTTCTATAGATAACTGTCAATCCTCTGTAGGTTCTTGAAAGGCATCAGCAAATTACAACAGGAGAAAGTTGTGTGTACTTATGTATGCTGTGGATGCTATGTCAATCTTAACAAGTAATGTGATCCAAAATGAGAAGATCCACTGAACTGAATTGGTGCTGGGAATCTGCATGAACATCGCTAGGGAAGGGATTGCTTTGTGCTTGATCTGGTCGGGCTTCAGGCACTGAATGCCAATAGCAGTCGTAATTTGTTACCTGTGCTCCTGAAGAACATCTTCTGGATTAGACTCCTCTAGAAGAAATCTACTTCATTTTCTCCAATACAATTCTGAGACATGAAATGGAGTGTAGTGAGAAGGGATGATCCTGTTCTGAATCAAAATACTAACGTAGAAGTGCCTTGTATAGGATCAGAACCATGATGGTTAAAGCTCTTAAGTGGCATTTTTTACTTACTGGAGCATCTTTCAGTAGCGAAGGGAGAAAGTAAGAAATTAGAACTGGAACCAGGAAAGTAAAGAAAGCAAGTTAAATGTGAGCGGAATATGAGGTTACATAATAAATGCAACCAACCAGTGAGATATTTCTGCAAGGGCCATGATGAGATATGAAATGTAGCTGTAAGAGACCTGGGTCATCTACACTTAGATCCAGCTGAAAAATGCAAAAGCTCTGTCCACAAGCCTGGAAAAGCATACACTCATGGTTCAATGGGAGGAAAAAAAAATGAAAGGTAACAGTGCTGAAAGACAAGTGCACTTCAAACTGAATCTCATTCTGCTGACTACAGTCATTATTTGTAATGTCTTGATTTCTTTCACTACAGCTGGGGCAAGGGATACGAGGCTATCTAAAATGCCAGGTAACATCTTGAATTAGAAAAGGCAGGGAGAAAACCAAGATCTGATCTGCAGTGAAACCATCCACTCGGAAAATGCTTTTCAATGCAAAAGTAATAACTGCATGCAATTAACTGTAACCGTAAACCCAAGCTAATATAATATTGTGTTTATTCCCACTGAGTGGGTTCCTGTGAATCTGATCTTTTGCATCTCCTTAATCCCTGCACATGCTTCTTTATGAATTTTCCTTTCTAATACTCTGCTTCGCTACCTGCTGTCTGTGTGCCACATGCAATTTTTGTAGGCATGTCGGATTATCTTTTTAGCAATAGCTAGCACTGGCTGGCATTTGCATGCTACCCATATTCAATTCAATTACTGACTGTCCACAGGACAGTAATTGCAGTTTCAGGGAGCTAAGGTTAATGAATAAATTGAGTTTTATGTCTTCCTGGGTCATAAGATACTGATGGGTAGAATGTATTTGGATAGGATAGATGTAAATCATGGCAGTTGTGCTAGGTTATGCTAGCAGCTCATAAAGAAAGCTTAGGTGTCTGCTGAAATTGAAAATGTCATTGATGATGGAACCTCAAGGAGGATTGAAGAGAGCTATCCTGACCAGTTCAACTTCTCTTTTCCCAGTAAATGGACACAGCATGCAATTATGTCAGTGAGAAAAAGAATTTCAGGTTTTCTGCAATTAAATCAACTTTTGCTATGCACTGCACAGCTCTAAATATCAGTGTTTGGAAGACAAAAGGCTTAATAGAGGGTTTTGTCTGATGTAGGGGTCCAAATGAAAATTAGATATTGGCCTCCAGGTGCCTGCCCATTTCTGAAGAGGTCAGAAAGCAGTCCCTGGAGTACACCAGTTATCAGCTTGATCAACAGGCATCAGGGTTGATTAGCTGAATCAGACATCCAGTTCTAATCATCCACTGTCTAGAAACTGAACTCCCATCAAATTAATATGGGGCTTTTTTTGTATGTTTTTCAGAGCACTTTAGCAAGTCAGTGGTTCCGGAGAAAGTCTAACTTGTCCCAGTTCTGCCATGAGAAAAGAAAGAGGAGGAGGTTATGCTGCTGTAATGGCTTTTTGAAAGCGGTATGCCTTTTAATAAAGCACTGAGACTCACATTTTCCTACATGGTAAAAGAGAAGAATAAGGGAGTAGTAACTAAGGGAGGGAGAATGCAAATGTGAGTAGGGATGTGGGACAGTCAAGCCCACATCTCAAATGTCACACAGCAAGTAGTAATTCAGCTGAGAGTCAGATCTGCCCTGTGTTGCTTGGGGTGTTCAGTGCCTTGTGCTTTCCATCTTTCTTTACATCCCCTTAGACTCCTGTGAGGAGCTTTAGCAAAGGCTGACCACAGAGAGCTGGACCTGTTTCCTTCCTCCTCTGGCACACTGCAACCTTAGCACATCTGGTCAGGCTTGTCTTTGATCTCCCTTAAAAGCTCTTTGTCAGAAAGTATGTCTCAGCCATGGCTGGAACCTTGACCTTTCTCCTGAGCACATGACCCAATGTGTCCCCTTCTTTCTCATTTAACTCCGTACAAGGCTATGTTAGCGAGGGCTCAGAAGCTCAGTAACCACTTATCTGGACTTTAACTGCTCAGTGTGCTTGGCCACTGTTGCTTTAGGCAAGAGAATTAGAGGAGTGTTTGAGGAGAAAACAAAGAGAAAATGGAGAATGGATGGGAGTACATCACCAATAGATTGAATTTAGATGTGAGAGTGGAAGTGGGGGAGCAACAGAAGACATGAAACTAATCAAGCAAATATTAATGAAGTACTGGAAGAGGAAATTGTGCTCGTTAGTATTAAACCAGTATTGTCAGCCTGACAGAATTAGTGGGGATGATGTCTACGTTGTCAGCACTAGCCGAGCTGAGCCAAGCTCCTGGAGTGCCCAGATGAACCATCAAAGCAGTCTTTTGCTAGTCAGAAGGGGGGTAGCTGAGCACCATACAAGCTGCACTCCAGCTCTCTCCACAAGCTGCACACCAGCTCTCCCCAGGCAGCCGCAGCAAGCAAGCAGGGCTCAGATCCTTGGGCCAGGATCCAAGGAGCGGTAGCGTGAAGGTCTTGTGCACATTTCACACCTACAGCACAGGACTGACAGGAGCCTCCAGAGCACTGTTGCAAGGGGAGTAGAAGAATTAGAAAGGATGGATAAGATGGAAGAAGGAAGCAGACAGACTGAAATGGAAGAGAAAAACTGAAACAAATGTTGATAATATTAAAAGCATAGTCTAGATCTTGCCAACAAAATTGTTAGCATATGAGGGGAAGCATCTTTCAATTAGAATCCACCTGTATGTACTTTGGTTGTTCCTAAAATATATATGTAGGGCTACTTTATATATGTGGTTGCACAGAAAACTAGTCCTCTGCTTTGTGTTGAAACTGTGCCAATAACAGCAGCTAAAACTGTTTTTCTAGCATTGCAATATTTCACTTGGCATTCCATGTGATGCAGAAGACAGCAGAACCAAAAGGGAGATGGATTAATGTAGGTAGGTATTTTCTGCATTGGACAAACCTACTTAATGCCATTACTTATTCCTCCCTTGTGGATACACAGGCACCTAAGCATATGTCAGATAGTTTGAAAATGTTGCTGGCAATAAGAAGGGCAGTGTCCTTGACCATTCACCTCTGACATAGCCATAATTAAGGAATTCCTCAAATTCTGAATTGGAATTATGAGTGCATTTTATCCCATTTATTTATATTTTATAGCAGTGCAACACAACAAAGGTATATCTTGGCCTTTCTTTGCCTTCACACCCTTTTAAATAAAAATTTCCACATAATATTGCCATATTCCATGTTTTTTCTCTTAGCATATGGTCAGATGAGGGTGCTCTCTCCTAATGACTAGTGGTTATTTTCTAATAATGCTAAGATTTCCATAACTAAGATGGATGTTTCTAAGGGAATGACTATATGAGTGCTTGCAGCTGTGTTCAAAACATAGCACAGCCAAAGACTGTCATGAGTGATGTTACACACCCAGAATTCGGTTCCAAGCAGTGTTGGGGCTGCATTTTAATAGCTCATTTTAGTTCCTAGGCTTCTTCATGAAAATCAAAATTCTGGATGTTGTAGGATTAGTCAATGACAAAACCCATCTGGAAGATGATTTTTTTTCTCCCACTGAAACTGGGTGGAGATCTGAGTTTGCATCCTTGCTCTCTAACTATTCTCTGTTCCTGGCCAAAGCAGAATCCCTTGCGATTGAGATCCTGAGCCTGTTTAAATAATCCTTTATAAGGGTTCTGATTTTCTCATTATAGACACAAATTTCAGATCTGAGGTTCTGGTGTCTCTATAGCTCTTTCCTAGGCTCTATGTGATTATATTAGCTCATGGCTCTAGTCCTGAAGAGAGTGTAATTTCATCCTCACATTTCAAAAGGTTAATCTCTTCTCATTAGCAATAAAGGGTCACATCATGTGGCTTAAAAAAATAGTAACATACATCTGAATTTCCTACCCATGTGAGCAGTGGAAAAATGAACAGGAGTGGGAAGGCGTCATCACATCATATACTTAACTCATCTAAATCTGGATGCTTAAATTAGGTTCCTCCACCAAGTAGAGTCAGGAGGAGTCATCTCTTTCACTGTTAGGAAAGTCAAGAGAGATTAGGCTCCTAATTTATTTATCAAAATATTTTATTATGTACCAAACACCTTTAAAAGGTGCTGTGATTATCTCACCTTCTTCCCAACCTCACAACTTCTTAAGCTGCTAACTTACTAATCCTGCTGAACTTTCAGAAGTACACCAGAACACCACCTTCTCTTGGGCTCTAGACCCACAAGAAACAACAAAGAAGCTTGAAGAAAGATGAGAAGGAAATACTTTCAGAAAAAAAATCCAGAGTTGAAGAGGAGGAGCTGCAGATGTGTGTCACAGCCACAACAGTAGCTACTATGTTTGGAGTTAAACCTCAGCCAGCCTGAACTGTGAGAGCTTAATGAGCAAAACTGGCCATGCACTTAAATATTTGGGCTGAAGGACTGAAGAAGGTCATGTTTTGAAGACCTAACTACAGACAATCCAATCATGATGGGGGTAACAAGGTATTTCTAGGAGGCAAAGGTGTGACTCTAGCAGAGCCAGGTAGGCAGGAGCTGTCGTGGGAAGGGCCACCAAGCTGACGGTGCCTCACGAGCTGATGCCCAGCATTCCTGGGGGCTGTAAGGGCCCCACCACTGCAACAGCCTCCCTGCCATGGGCTTCAGCAACCCAAAGGTTGCACAGACCTTTAATCTGAATCTAGCTAGATGAAAGCTGCTGCAGGCATACCTAGCCATGACGTAATGACAACTTTGATTACAGTGTAGGTATCTTTGAAAATAGAAGATCTTGAGAACTGAGGTCAGGATGTGATTATAAGAATTACAGGGTTTCCTGAAAACCCATTGATTCTTCTATTTTAATCCTGATGACCAGCTACGTCAAAATGATCTGCCAGGAGCCATCGCAGCCAAATCCACAATAAAGGAAACAACGCATGGATCTGCTGCAGACATCGGAAATCTTCCCAGAGGAGAGAAGAGGTAAGGAATGTAGAACTGGCCTTGTCACTTCTCCTTTGGCAAATGACTAGCTCTCAAAAACCCTGATTAAGTTTCTGTCTAAAATGTGATTTCCATTTGCTCCCTAAGGTTTAAAAATAGTGAAAAGATTTCAGCAATTAATGACACTCTCAGTTATCTAAATTAGAAGTTGCTGCTGTTGGTTTCACATATTAATGGTCTCTTCTTTTCTTCTTGCCTTGCACCAGGACACTGTTCCCTGCTACCATCTTCCTGGGCAGCAGCCACACACCAGAGAGGCAAATCACACACCAGTGGTACTCGGAGATCAGAGTAAGTTTTCTGCCACTTGATTCACTTAGCCTTTGGAGCCCTTTGTTCAGCTTTACCCACGGGCCTGCACCTCCAGTCTTTACTTGCATACTCAGTCTTGTAAAAGTGGGAACAGTTTTGCCTTTATGAGTGTTTCTGACAACAGCTTTACTTTACTGGCTGTGATGGAAATCCTCTAGATTTGCACTACTGCGAACTAAATGGGGCTCAGGGGATCCATGTGTGTGGGCTATAGACTGCTTAATTGCATGTGGGCAGTGTTGTTCTCTGACTCAGAAATATCTTTACCTTGAGAAAAAGTAATACACCCCAAAGAAATTCTTGTCCTTCTCCATTCACAGACATCATCTTTTTAACCTTGCCCTAGATTTGTTTTAACACAATTTATTGGATAAATGTCAAAAAAAGACTATTAGTTGTTTCGACTGAAATCAGTGAATAATAAACACATGTATTTTACTCCTGTACTGTAACTGGGCATGTTTGTGATAAATAGTCCTAATTCAAAAGCATCTCTCCTGCTCTTGATATGACAGCAATAGAAACATAGCTATATGCTGTGTTTCTGGCAGAGTTTCAGTTCTTCCACAGAACTTAAATCGTGCCAGTTAGCTTAAGCTTCAGGCTTTAAAACTCAATGTGAGTAATGAAGAGAAAGCAATCTGATTAGCTGGTGAGGCTGACTAAAAGGCACCTTCATTACAAAGGAGCTTAAAAAAGGAACAAAACTATACAAAATAGATTAAAAGTATAATAATAATGATAGTGTCAAACAGCATAACAAAGTAAAATGTCTCCATTCAAATTAAATTAATATTTAATAGATGGCACAGTGTTGTCCATGGCTTTATATTCTTCTATTTTAATGATCTTTACCACAGCTTGAGATCCTTTGTCTCGTCCCATTCTACTGACATCAGCTGGAAGAGACAGAGATTAAAACAAGGGTAATTTCCCCATGGTCGTTGCTTGGCACTATTTCTGCTTTGCTCAGCCATGAACTGAAAGTTTAAAGGATGAAGTACTGTCACTCAGACTGATTCTTCCCTCCACACTTTCTTACCAGGGTTAACCACTCAGCCAGTCACCAAGGAAACATGTGGCTCCTTTGCCCATCTTACTGCCACCCTACAGCCTCATATTGAGAACGTCACCATAATCTCATTAGGAGGTTGAATTTGCCACTGAAGCTTGAATTCCCATAACAGGAGGGGAGTGGACTAATGCAATTA